GTTAATTTCAGATGTATTAGCATTCTCACTTCGTGACTCACTTACTTTGGAATTGATCTCAGTATCAATTTTTGGTGATTCAATAATCTCATCATGCCTCAAAGAGGCGCCTAAAGGCCTGGTATGTGACGAGATATTACCATCGATTTTTTCTATTGGATCCATATTTTTTCTACGTATAAAATATTTACTGAGATCATTATCCACAGATATATTATTGCTTTGCAATGGGATTTCACCCCTACTAGACTTGATTATATTTTTTTCGACATCCCCACCAATTACAGGTTTCGGTATAGCATCTGATTTTAGACGCTCTAATTCACTAACCGTTGAAGCTAATTCACTCTTTATACGTTCCAATTCAGACTTGAGAAATAGTATCTCAGATTCTTTTTTTGATGAATTTTTCTGGATCAAAAGCACATCCTTCTGAGCTGATTCCAACTTATATTTTAATATCTTGTTCATAGCTTGAAGCGATTTTATTTTTTCCAATTGAGTATCATACTTGGCTTTATACTGGGTATGGGAAATCTGTGATTGGGTAAGTTGGGATGTAAGGTTAGTATTCTCGCTTTGAAGTTGTTTGCCCTCATTAATAATTTGTGAAGTGTGAGTATATAATTCTTGAAAATCTTTACTATAACGCAATGAATCCCGATTCCACTTCTTTTTTTCTCGGTTAAAATCCCCTTCTCGCTTCAAATATATATTCTGCAGATCCTTATATTAATTAGCAAGATCAGAGTTAGATTTGATACTATTGCGTAATGCTTTTTCAAGCTCTAATTCATGAATGTTACCAAGCCGATGAGCTTTATTCTCAATATCTTTCAAGGTAAATACATTGCTCATAGTTACTAGTATATAAAATATATATATTTTTATTGTATTATATATAAAACACTCTGGAATGAATAAAAATGTTATCGAACGATCTTTAATAATATAAATCTATGATAAATGAAAAATTTCAATAAATAGATCACAATATGTTTATATCTATGTTTATATATACTGTATAAAAAATCTATTCTTATAAATCCTTTCACTTCACTCGTTAATAATTTTTATCCATCTTGAACGATAAATATTTATCTTTAACATTTTTATCCGAATAATAAATAACCATCTTTAACATTTTTTATCCCTCTAAAATATTCCAAAAATCTAGACCAATGAATACCCCATTTTTAAAAACATATTATCGTCGAAATGCACATTATTTATCTCGTGAGCAGATTGAAGAAATTAGGAGGCTCAAGAACAAAGTTCCTATATATAAAGTGATTGGTGATTATCATATATGTAAAGAGCGCGTTCTTGATATATGGAATAATTGTGAGCGTCTTCAACAAGGAGGAAATTATAGACACACTCTAGAAACCCCTATCGACACTTCAAATAAGCAGGTTAAGAAAAAAAAATCGAGACCTAAATTGGTTCAAATTTCTGACTCACCTGATGTTATTAATAAGGGTGATACATCCAAAGATCCGATAAAAAACGAAATTACTGAAGACAGTCACAAAGTAGCTATTTTACCAACTGAAGAATCATCCTCCGAAGATGTCTTGGATTTGTTTAAGAGAACTAATAGTGATATAGAAAAAATTAGAGAATCTGGTCGTGCTCTTAGGCCTTAGCTTCATATCGTTCAAGTAAACTATTATAGTATCCTATCATTTCTAAATTCGATTGAATGCTAGATAATAACGCCTTTTCAAGCTCTTTTATTCGATTTTTCATACTTTCATGATTTACATAGTTAATTTTTTTTTTAATTCTTCACTAGATGAAGAGTTAGAGTCTCGAGTTTCCAATTCATCGGAATCCAATGTTTCTGTGATCTCTGTCTCTTTTGGTGGATCCTTCGCTACTGGGGTCTTGCTGAATGTTGGAATAATATAAGACTTACCATGTAATTTCATTCGGAATTGGTTTTTATTTGGGTCAACAATACCTTGAACTTTTCGAATCCATGTCATACCTAAACATAACATTGGTTCAGGTTCACCATTATCAATACGTGTAAAATTTCCAGTAGCTGTAACAGTTTTACCATCCTTATCCTTTATACTGACTGGCACATCCGTAAACCATCCCAATGATTCGGTGATA